GGTGCGCGGTTGTCCAGTTGCGGTCCGTGTCAATAAAAAAAACCTGTTTCTGGCCGTTACGTTGGTGGACTCTTCCTGTCAAAGGCATCGTCGCCTCGGCGGCCGAGTGTTGCTCCGGTGGTGCCCTCGTCGTGGCCCTCCTCCTCCTCCTCCTCCTCCTGCTGATGGACCCCCCCCCCCCTTCCCANCCAGACGGTGGAGGTGGAGCGGGGCGGGGGGGGTCTGAGACCTGCTGGAAGCCGGGCTGCCTTCCAGGGTCAGGGTCCAGGGTAGGGGCCCATGTCAGGCTTTGGCCGGGGAGGGTCCTCCCGGTGAGTGCCTGCCTGGGAAGCCAGGGAAGGCGGTGGAGCCAGGGGGAACTCTGTGCGCGGCGCCCCCCTCTGGGGCTCTCAACAGGATGGGCCGGCTAGGATGGAACCAGGGGACCTCCACTCCGAGGGCATGGAGGGAGAGGGAGAACAGGCCAAAGGTAAAACAAGTCTTGACCCAGCGTGTGGGTAGTCTGTGGAACTCCTTGCCACACAGGATGCGGTGAGGGCATCTGGCATCTAGAGGCCTTTCAATGATTCCTGGAGGAAAAGTCCCCTCGCAGGGGACAAGCCATGGTGGGGATGTATAACTGCCATGCTTCGAAGGAAGGGACCCCCCCCACAAAGGCCAGAGGCAGGGGAGGGGGCTCAGGAGACAGTTATATCTCATGGGCTCCCAGAGGCATCTGGTGGGGCCACGGGGAGAGACGGGGAGCTGGACCAGAGGGGCCCTCGGCCTGATCCAGCGCAGGGCCCTCCTTCCGAGGTTCTTATGTAAAGGATGCCTTCTTTGGCCAGTGCTGGCCCTGAGGTCCAGGTCAGGCCCCACCTTCCCTGAGAGCATTTGCTGGCCCTCAAAGCCCCCCCCCCCCGTGGTCCCATTTCCTGCAGAGCCCCTGTCTCTGGCCGTGGAGGGGGCCTTCTTTGGGCATCCCCCCCCCCCGGGATGCCCAGGGCCTGAGTTGAAGGGCTACTCAAGCAATTTCCCCAGCACTTCCCTGGCTTCCTCCTGGGTGGAGATTTTAGCCACTCTAAATGCTGCTCTGTCTGCAGAGGGGTGGGGGGGGGGAGAGAGAGTTGCAGAGAGGCTGTGGAAGGGGAGACCCTTGCCTTGCCCACAGAGAACAGAGCTGGGCCTGGAAGGGATTCCCCCCCCCTCACGTGGGGTAAGGAGAAGGGCAGTCGTGTTTTCCTTCAGGAAGGGTGACCTCAGCCCCAAGCAGTCTCTGCCCCACCTGCCCGCCTGCCCCACTTCCTGGAACCCCAGAGGCTCCCAAGCGAGGTCCCCTTTGCTCTTCTTCCTTAACCCAGCCCGGCTTCAAAGGCTTCCTGCCCTCTCGGGAGGAAGGTGATTAATCCAGAGGTGGAACCGGCTTGAGGGCCAGATCCTGGCAAGCTGCCGCCCTGAAATGAAGGCATGCTGGTTCTGCTGCTTGGCTTTTATGAAAACTGGTCACTGCCTGGTGCCCAGAAGACATTCCTGGGGGAAACTGGGCTGCAGATGTGGCTCCCATCGCAGCTAAATGTTTTGTTGACACCGGGAGCCCCAAGGGAGGAGATGGGGGACGGGCTGGGATCCGCCCCTCTTGTTCTCTGACGCCAAGGCGAGGGAGGCCGAGAACGGAGGAGGCCGAGCCCCGGGCCCGGTTCTCTGTCCTGCTCAGGCCAAGCCCCTGCCGGTGGCTTCTGGCTGCCTGGTCTTCCCTGGAGTTCAGGAACACAAAGTCCAAGGCGACGCTGGGCCTTTACTCGGCCCCACATGCGTGCGCACATATGGACACACTGCGTTCTCTGTTGGCCATATCAGGCTCATTAATGTGTTACAATAAAATCTGGCCATGGTGACGCATGCCCTTATTTATGCTGGTTGGATAGCTCAGTGGGTTGGCTTCCCAGCTGCAGGGCCGATGGCCGGGAGTTCGACTCCCCAGCAGCCTAAGAAGAAGTGAAGGGCAAACCGCTTCAGCGAACTCACTACCTAGTCAGCTCTGGAAAAGGTATCTGTAAGTCAGAATTGACTTGATGGCACACTCTTATTATTGATAATTAGGATTACTGTAATGTGTTATATGTGGGACTGGCTTTGCACAGAGTTCACAACATTCAATGCGTCCAAAATGGCTCACAGGAATATGGGACCTCTCCTGATACAGCAGCTCCACTGGCTGCCGGTCTGTTCCCAGACACAATTCAAAGTGCTGAGTTTGACTTATAAAACCCTAAATATCCAAGCTATCCCAAGGACCGTATCTCCCTTTATGAGCTTGGCCTGGTGTTAAGATCACCAGTGGAGGTCTTTCTGTCAGCCCCACCACCTTCAAGGGTGCATTTTGATGGGGGACACAGGAGAGGACAGGGGACATACTGCATTTGCCTTCAGTGTGGAAGGGATGGTCACTCCCAAATTGGCCTTCTCAGCCGCACCAGACGCTGTTCCTAGACCTCTATTCAGAGCACGTTCCCATCGTCTCTCAAGACTGAAGGATGCAGCAGAGAACCAGATTCAGCCCACCACCTTCAAGGGTGCATTTTGATGGGGGACACAGGAGAGGACAGGGGACATACTGCATTTGCCTTCAGTGTGGAAGGGATGGTCACTCCCAAATTGGCCTTCTCAGCCGCACCAGACGCTGTTCCTAGACCTCTATTCAGAGCACGTTCCCATCGTCTCTCAAGACTGAAGGATGCAGCAGAGAACCAGATTCAGCCCAGTAATATACCATCGTCTCTCGAGACTGAAGGATGCAGCAGACAACCAGACTCAGACCAGTAATAATTATTGCTGTTGCTTTAAAAATGTATTAATCACTAATACTGTTTTATAAATCACCTAAATGAATTAAAGCATTAACATGTATTAAAATATATTAAGTGTGTCTTACAAATAGAAAGCTTCTGCCTGTAGTTTCTGATGTAAAACAAAGAAGGGTTTTGGAATTGTTGTTGATCCCAAGCTGAATATAAGCCAACAATGCAATGTGGCTGCAAAAAAGGCCAATGCTATTTTAGGCTGCATTAACAGAAGTATTATACTCTCCAAATCTTGTGAGGCACCAGTTCATACCCCCCCCTTCACGAACTGCTGCCTTGTCGTGGTGAATGGGCTTGAGTAATTCAGAGAAGCTATGGTCTATGCTGTGCAGCGACACCCAAGACGGACAGGTCTATACAGTCAGCAAAAACAAGATCTGGAGCTGATTGTGCCTCTGATCATCAACTTCTTATAGCAAAACTCAAGCTTAAACTGAATAAAGTGGGAAAAACCACTGGGCTAGTCAGGTATAATCTAAACCAAATCCCTTATGAATACACAGTGGGAGTGAAGAACAGATTTAAGGAACTCAATTTGGTGGACAGAATGCCTGAAGAACTATGGATGGAGGCTTGTAACACTGCACAGGAGGCAGCAACAAAAACCATCCCAAAGAAAAGGACATGCAAGAAAGCAAAGTGGCTGTCCAACGAGGCCTTAGAAATAGCAGAGAGGAGAAGAGAAACAAAATGCAAGGGAGATAGGGAAAGTTACAGAAAATTGAATGCAGACGTCCAGAGAATAGCAAGGAGAGACAAGAGGGCCTTCTTAAATGAACAGTGCAAAGAAATAGAGGAAAAGAATGAAAGGGAAAAACCAGAGATCTGTTCAAGAAAAGTGGAGATATTAAAGGAACATTTTGTGCAAAGATGGACATGATAAAGGACAAAAATGGTAGGGACCTCTCAGAAGCAGAAGACATCAAGAAGAGGTGGCAAGAACACACTGAGGAATTATACCAGAAAGTAGTTGTTGTGGGTTTTTCGGGCTCTTTGGCCGTGTTCTGAAGGTTGTTCTTCCTAACGTTTCGCCAGTCTCTGTGGCTAGCATCTTCAGAGGACAGCACTCTGTGCTCCAGAAAGATCTGGATGTCCCAGACAACCCAGATAGTACAGTTGCTGAGCTTGAGCCAGACATCCTGGAGAGTGAAGTCAAGTGGGCCTTAGAAAGCATGGCTAACAACAAGGTCAGTGGAGGTGATGGACTTCCAGTTGAACTATTTAAAATTTTAAAAGATGATGCTGTTAAGGTGCTACATTCAATACGGCAGCAAGTTTGGAAAACTCAACAGCGGCCAGAGGACTGGAAAAGATCAGTCTACATTCCAATCCCAAAGAAGGGCAGTGCCAAAGAATGCTCCAACTACCGTACAATTGCACTCATTTCATACGCTAGCAAGGTTATGCTCAAAATCCTACAAGGTAGGCTTCAGCAGTATGTGGACCGAGAATTCCCAGAAGTACAAGCTGGATTTCGAAGGGGCAGAGGTACTAGAGACCAAATTGCTATCCATTTTGAAGGAAATCAACCCTGAGTGCTCACTGGAAGGACAGAACCTGAAGCTAAAGCTCCAATACTTTGGCCATCTCATGAGAAGACTCCCTGGAAAAGACCCTGATGTTGGAAAAGTGTGAAGGAAACAGGAGAAGGGGACGACAGAGGACGAGATGGTTGGACAGTGTCACCGAAGGGACCAACATGAATTTGACCAAACTCCAGGAGGCAGTGGAAGACAGGAGGGCCTGGTGTGCTCTGGTCCATGGGGTCATGAAGAGTCGGACACGACTTAATGACTAAACAACAACAACAACCAGTTGCTCTCTGTTCAGCAGGGGTTAGACCTCATCTCCAGTACTGGAGTCCAGTTCTGGACACTGCACTTCAAGAAGGATGCTGACAATCTGCAGCCAGTTCAGAGGAGAGCAAACAGGATAATCAGGGAACTGGAAACCAAGCCCTGGGAGGAAAGACTGAGGGGAGAGAGGAGAGCACTTTTGAAGTACTTGTAAGGCAGTCCTGCAGAGG